TGAGGCAGTGGAGGAGAAAGAGGAGGAGGAGGAAGTGACGACAAATCAGACGACGACGCCGTCTTTTCTGCCGGAGCTGGATCAGTGGTTCAAGGAGCATGCAGCCGAGTTGGAGGGCAATAAGACGGCGAAGGAAGAGGCTGATTCGGGCGCCAAGTTGGCTGATTTTGTCAAAAAGTACGGACCAGCAATTTATGAAAAACTGAGGGCAGTCCAGACTGGAAAAGCGAGTCAGTAAGCAGCAGTAACAGTGGAATGACTTAATGTTCACCTTGATTGGTTCACTACATGGCCAAAATATATTGTTATGAGTATATTGTAGTATATGGTAGTTCGCCTGCTTTTTATTTTTTCAGTAGGGTAAAAATAGCTTAAATGCAGTCTGAAAAGAAAGGGATAATTCAGAAGATGAATTAGCGCACATACGTTTGTTTTCGATAAATTCTCGTCAAGCCTTTACAATTATATGGTAATTACTTATTACCATATAAATGTAAAGGCCTCACGAGAATCTATCGAAAACAAACGTATTTTCGCTAATTCATCTTCTGAATTTTTAAGTGGGAATCTTCGTAAATTAAAGAAAAAGGAAATGATAAAAATGGGTTTTAAAGGTGTTTCATGATGACACTACACTTTAAAAGATTCTTACTTACCAACCGCACGTGCACGCTCGCCGGGTGCCTTACAAATCAGCTCGCATGAAGTTTATCACGCGTGTAAACTCATATTCGCATTTGTTATGCTTGTTGCCAAAAATAGGATGCATGTCAGCTATGGATACAGGTATAGGAAAATATAACTAGAATATACTATCCGCTGGTTTTAGTAAGTGGGATTACCGGAATTAGCACTCTTAGCAGTGACATATTACCTCCAGCAGCAGTATCCTAGCCCCAAAACTTCGTAAAATGTGACAGCAGCATTCAATTTGCTTAACTAGTTACACATAATTAAAATTTAGCTTACCTTGAAATCTAGCTGGTTGTAGCTTCATTATACAGTTTAGACACAAATGTATCTCTTAGTTTAGATTTGCTTAGCTTTGATAGTGTAAACTTGTCCTCAAAGCCTAGCCAACACTTTTAGCCTAGTGCAGTCGCAGCAACACTTTCAGCAACTTTGTGGGGCTATGAGCCCAGCGCCACTTTCTGACTAATAATACAGCCAGAAATAGTACCAGCAATACCACCACTCAGCCGCACCCCTAGTTAGTAGTATTCGAAATATCAGTAGCAGTACAAGCCTTAGTTTCCAGAACTCTGGTTTTACAGCTACTGAAGGTGGGGTATTTACTTAAAATAGCTTTAACCCACATTCCTACTCCGTGCTGGGATCAAGGGGCTATGAGCAGACGTTCTGTAAAATCCAAGCTACGGATAGATACTGTTTTAGGCCTCTAGGTAGTTTCTATAGACGGCAGACTGCACAACATAAGGGCATGGTAGGACTTGTGCCATTATTATTAATATTGTTATCCAAATGTTAATCACTTTATCTCACACAGATTGGGAGTGCATACTGTGTGCTGTCTTCTTAAAAGGTACACAGGCCGTATTATAGTACACTATTTACTGGTCGTAGTAAGCATGATTACTAGAGTTAGGCACGTACCTATAGGAGCAGTATTTTGGTCGAACCTAGTAGAAACGTACACAGCCCGACGGATAGAGTTGAGAGGGTGG